GCGCGAGTTGGATGGAATCGCACAGCGGCTCGTCGCGCGCGAGCGAGCCCCTCGCAGTCCGGGTCGGAGAGAAGAGGTACTCGCACCGGACCTCCACCGCCGGCACCGCCTCAACCATCGCCGAGACGGCAGTCTCCGCCCGCGCGCCTCCGCCGGCCGGCGCGTACTCGAGCAGCGCCTGCAGCCGCACGGCGCCCGGCCGCACGGCACGCAGCAGCAGCCGCACCCGGTGGCACTCGTCACGAACGACGGGCGGCAGCGAGAGCGGGTGCGCCAGCGGGGCGGCCCCACCCTCGTCCAGCAGCTCCGGCTCGAGCGCCTCCGCCTCCGCCGCCTCCGCCTCCGCCGCCTCTGCGCGCGGCGCCGGGCCGGGGCTCGTCCCCGTGGCGGCTTGCGGCGGCGCGGAGGTTGGTCCGGCGGCGGAGAGGGAGAGAGTGCCGTCGGCGATGCCGTCCGATCGCGCGTCCAACGAGACGCACAGTGGCGCCACCTCGCCCACCAAGACAGGCTGCGCGCCCTGAAAGGTGAGCTGGACGGCGGGCGGCGGCGGAGTGACCTGCAGCAGCGCCGGCGCAGCCTCGGGCGGTGGCGCCGCGGCGCCGTTGCGCGGCGGCGGGGCGGACAGCGGCAAGATGAGCACGATGGCGCACGGCGTCTCGCCGAGCACAAGCTCGAGCTGCTTCGGCGCCACCGTCCCCACCGCCCCCGCCGAGTGGCTCACCTCGAGCAGCAGCTCGCCGCCCGCAGGGATGCAGAGCCGCGGCGCAGCCTCGCCGCCGTGCGGCGCGGCGGACTGCGCGGCGAGCTTGGCAACCGCCGCGGAGAGGTCGCCCGACAGGTCCGCGCCAGAGGCGGCGAGCCGCAGCGACGAGGGCGAGAGGGGCACCGCGAGCGAGGAGGCGAGGCGGAGGGTGAGGCTCGCCTCCTCGCCGAGGGAGACGCGGGGGAGCGCCCACTCGGCAGTGCAGGAGAGCAGCGCTTGGCCGGGCAGCAGCTCGAGGAGGGCGGGCGAGGAGAGAGGCAAAAAGGGCGACGGCGGCGGCGGGGGGAGGGCAGGCTCCGATACGCGCACGAGGGCGAGGAGCTCGCCTGCCCAGAGGGGGGGGGGGGGGGGGGGGGTCCACATGTCTCCCTTCTGTGACATGGCAGGCCGCGTGCACAAGTGGACAAGTCACAAATGGACTGGGCCCTCGGTGCTCTAGGGGGCCGGACCGAGCACCGCCTCCGGCTCGGGCGCCGACCAGACCTCGCGCGACAGCAGCGCGACCCAAGCCTGCAGGTACTCGGACACGTCGCGCAGCTCGAGCGCGCACCTGATCCACCGGCCAGGGTCGCGGCGGCTAAGGAACGAGCCCTTGGAGACGGCGCGCGATTGAGCGCGTGAGAGCTCGCGCCTCCGAAGCGAGCGCTGGATGTGCGCGAGCGCGCGCCACCAGCGCTCGCGCTGGTACGCGCGACAGATCTTGCCGTAGAAGCGGCGCGCCTGCGCGGCGTCGCTCGGGCGCGTCACGGGCGCGTCGCGGCGGAGCTGGTCTCGGAGGCGGAGGCGGCGCGCCATGTCGAAGCGGCGCGAGTGGAGGTACTCGTCCGCCATCTGCGAGGCGACGGGCGAGGCGGGGGGGGGGGGGGGGGGTTGGGCAAACTCGGTCCCCCCCCGCCCGCAATGAGGCTCCCTCCCTCGCGGAGAGGCCCAAAGCGGAAAGGCTCAAAGGGGCAGTGCCTCTCCGAGCGGCTCTCCCAAGGGGACTTTTCATGGGTTCCTCGTGGATGCGTGGGACCCCCAGGTTGCCCCCCCCCTTACCCTCGTACAAAACGTGCGAGGAGGCAAGGCCCGCCTCCGCCCCGAGGAACTAAATCATGCGCCCCACCCTGGAGGACTTG